CCTTTATTAAGGTTTGAGTGCATCCATAAAGATCTACTGTAGATCTGTATGAAGAACTTATCCAGACTGAGAAAACCTAGCATTATGTACGTCAAACAGTAATGCTATTCTCAGAATGTGTGCTGACCATGCCACTGATGGCCAATCCCATACATAAAAGGTTTTATTCTCACAGTACTTGCCTGTGTAAATATTCGCTGTCTAATACTGCAGATTGTTCAACCTTACCAGAATCTTTCCTATGAGAAGATGCATTTGATACCGTTCATGATTAACTTGGAACGGTAGGTAACAAGGGCAAAAGGAATTCTTGACTGTTCTATACTTAAAATTAGGCATCTATATACATGAAAATCTTTGAAAACTTTCATATTAAATAAGGAGGCAGAAAATGTATGTCTTGTTACTACAAATTACAATAAAGGGAGCTAAATTCAGTATACTTGAGATGCACGTACTTATGTTTATTTTTACTTCAGATATTTAGTAACTAGGATAAATGTATAATTTTAAAAAATTACAAGGGCTTATTTTAATTCCAAATTTGCAGGAAAAATCAACTTGTATCAAAACAACTCGAGGGTGGTGGGTGTCGCCTATTACCCGATTGACTAACAAAGCGAACTAACTTGTTGGGTTGGGCGCCAAGTTGATATATCGCACAGGGCGCTATCAAACATCAATACAGCACTGTTTACATGTGGTCGGATTTTGTGATTTCAATGGCGTCTCACATGGTCCCTGAAGTAATAAAGAAATGGAATCCCCTAATTAAACGATTTACCTTTGTTAAGTTCATACTTAAAGTGGGATTCTCTACAGTTATAGAACCACTGTAGGGATCAGTTGCCTACCACACTTCATTGTAGGCATCCACGGTTTTGATGATTAAATCGAGTGTATTTTTACAAATGTTGTCGTGTGTACGTGCGCAAGTGCATACACCCACACTTGTGTATGGTTATAACTAGAGTATTAACTCCTGAAAGTATCTTTGTGAAAAGAATAGTAAGTTGTATTATATGGTGTTTTTCTGGCACGCACAATTCCTTTGGAATCTGAAGTTACACAAGCACATTACAATCTCATCTGATCACTATAGTAGTTGACTAATTAGAATCACACTCGAACATCTTAACAAGGGTGACCCTCGTTTATTTAGGGGAGTTTTTATTTACCACGAATATAGTATGGCTGCAAATATTTACAAAGTAATCAATGTGACATTTCATGTGATCGTTAACAGCGGAACAGTTCTATCTTTTCAGCTTGATGTGATATGATTTTAGCCATAGGAATACAATAATTTAGTTTGTGATCTATGCTCTTCGTTACTTGTGAAATACCTCGGTTTACTTGTCAACCTATTAACTTACGGTGGCAGATTTTCAAGGGACTGGGGGGAATCTCCCCCACACTTTAATTTGTCGGACATTACATGGATCCACGTCATTAAACATTAGTACACTACCTTACATGTTTTATCATGAATCCAAATTCTAAAATGTATGTGGACCCAGCCGCCCAAATCACGTACATATAAGTAGCGTATTCATATGGTAGCAAGTAAGTTCTATAGGCCTCAGTGATTGGGTGTTTTTGATTGAAGTTAAAAAAAAAATCAACTGTGCAAATCCCAGACTGTGCGAAATTATTGCCGACATTTATTGCTGTATATAAAATTACCAGATATCCTTCAAGTGGTTTTCTAAGTAAAACATTTGGAATATTTACAGTATCAACCTTTAACCAGCATCGTGCACACACAGAGCACAAAATCAGGGGTTCGATTCCCCTCGGTGGACACAGCAAAAAGCCCGATGTGGCTTTGCTATAAGAAAAGTGATGAGGTAATAATGAATACTGTAATAATATATTATAAGTAAATTTTGTGAAACTTTGGATTTTTGCGTTATTTATCATAGCGTCCCCCCCCCAATTTTTTTATGTTCATAACCTTGACAAAGAACAGGTATCTCAGCGTGTATATTATGAAATCGTGTCACACCTATTTGGGTCCATAAACTTTAACCTTCATAAATGTACAATATCTCCCAATTTCAATCTGTCAGGATTTCGATGGGTCTTGCTCCCCGCACCAAATTTTGAAATTTCCACCACTGCTAATTTTTGTCCATTCTTTTAAACGTGTCTAAGACCTTCGGCCGCAACTCAACACATTGTTTAGTGTTCGTAGTTCGTGTTGTTCATAGCAATTATGTTCGCTACTTGTTGGTGTGTCGTGTTTTTGATGAATTTAATCCCTAATTGGTTAGTTTGTACGGTATTCATGTTTTATTGCACTAACTTTTTCTCTTTTGTTTATTCTGTTAATATTACTTATTCATTCTTTTAGATCTTATTATTTGTGATTCAATTATAGTTTGTATTAACAATCATATTTATTGTTAGCCCACATTCTCTCCTGTTCAATTAACTCTACCTGTATATATTTTATTTCGATTGGATATGTCTTGGTTTATATTTCATTGCTTCGCTTGGTCTTACGTTGGAGCTATTTCTGTAATTTGTTTTTGTTTCATTCTACGTTTTTTCGCAATTTTCTTTGTATATTATGTTTTCTTTGTCTTTCATGTGTTTTATATATTGTTTGCATCAAATTTCTTGTTCTTTAACTTGGAAAATGTATTTTTGTGTGTTTTAATTTGCCATATTAGATTGAAGTTTTTTTAAAACAAATATGAAATCGGAATTCCTTTTTGAATTCCTTTTATACTAATGCAGAATTTGAATTACCCTTTAAAAACTATATTTAACCTTATTTCTTAATCTGTAATATATTTTTTTTAAATCGGTTGGGGTATTTCACTTTTAACTTTATTTTTTTCTTAGCACAATTAAAGAGGTTTACTGAATAACACAGTATTGCCATGAAGAATGAACGTAGTGATAAATTCTTAATTATTGTTTTGCTCGTTATGTAAGCCAAAAGTGGATAGTTAATTGTAAATGAAGAATGAACTTTAAAATAGAAAATGAATTTAAACATTACATATTCATCTTTATTAAATATTACATTGCGTCTACAACAGCCTCACCACAAATACAAAGAACAAAATAATTGTTGATTAAATTAACACAATACAACGCTAAAAATAATATAAATTATTTAGAAAAAATAAATTAGTTGAAATTACTTAAAAGCTGCCCAACTGCCCATACGTTTCTAATTTTAAAACCTTCCTTAAAATGCTTGAATTTTACAAATAACCCTAAAAAAAGTAAACGATTTTGGAATGTGAAAGTGTTGATGATATTGATTGGTGTTTTTATGTAAAGGAAGATTTGTGACTTTGATGTAGTAAGTGTTCTTTAATGTTCTCTTTGTGCAAAAAGATACTTTAAAATATTCCGACAACTTATCCCTTAAATATTTTTTCTTCAAGCTGGAAAACCTATTTAAGGAAAGTCCTTTTTACTGGAGATAGAAAATAAACGTATTCAGACACTATTTAGAGCAGAGTATGTAGTCCTTCAAAAAATAACTGTTCGGTGAAGGTTTTAAACTATGAACAAAGTTTTTTTTTATCTCTTCTTTCTAGCCCGTGATGTAAACAGCTGGACTTAGTTATTTTAATCTTTCCTAGTAGTGTGCAGATAAAGTATGTGAAAACATCACGCCAGTCATTGTTTTGTTGGGTGATAAATTTCTTAATTACAGACAAAACAGATTATATTCGTTCAGGTATCCTGGATTGGGGTATTTTGCTGTTTTTTTTCTTTACCCTCAAGTTTAGAGGAATATGAAATGTATGTGTAATTGTTTGATTAGATAATTTTTTCGGGATAATTCCAAGAAAATATTGTGCAGTGAAGTTGATAGCCCAAAGCATTGTTAAGCAAAAGAAATGCGTTAAATGTATGAACAAAAAAAGAAAAGACTTAATATTGTTTTTAAATGTAAACGAAATTGTGACATCGTTAACAAGGGAATATCATTTAAAAATCGTTTACCTCTGCATAAATAATTATCTTCCAGTATTACATATCATGTAATAGTGGAAAAGACTCGTTTACCATCATTTGAAGTTGAATAATCGATTTTTAACTCTATGTATCTCTTTCACATTTCGTATAGGACTGGCGTAATTAAAATCTGACGTAGCCGATAAAATTAATTTGTAAAACAACTCTTCAGAAACCAGATATGGTGCACTCTGCTGATCTGAGGCGCTATTATTAAAACTAGTCTCCAATTACTTTCAGCAGTCCACTGGAAACATGGTTTTTGTTCTATTTCACTGGAATTCTAAAATTACTGACAAGTATTTTGATATATTAGCTTGATTGGAAACTACATCAGCAGAGAATTCATAAATAAACATCTAATTAAATTCATTGAATTACTAATGTTTAGTGGAGTATTTTTCAAAGTCTTAAGTCGTAACGTTATGTTTAAGTGAAGAGTTGTTTTTTTACTAGCTTTCTATCCTAGGCGCTAATAATAAAATTTATAAATTATAAACTGTACTGGCTCCATACAAAACCTTGCTTTATATCGATTAAAGTTTTAGTTAAAAGTAATTTCTCCTCCATCACGAAGTACCAGTAAGATCTTAAAATTGTTTGTTATTGTTTTAACACAATTAGTTGCCCGCGCTCTGTCCAGCACAGGGAATCGAACTCCGGGTTTTAGCATTGTAAATCCGGAAACTTGCTGCTGATCTACCTGGGTACAATCTTAAAATGAATCAAAATTTTAATTCGTTTAAAATTTGTCACGAAACACTTACACAGATAATTTTGCTTTCAAGTATTTGCATAAGAATTAATTATGTATTTCATTACACGGATGAATTACATTTATTGGAGAATTGCTTGAGAAACTGACGTACCAGATCTCGTACATCCTACAAACTAAAGATGGTTTAAAAACTAAACGTTTTAATGACGCTCAAATATCTTTGTTGCCGACAGATGGCGTTGTGAAACCTAAGTTGATCTGTCATATATTAGCAAACAATCTGAAGAGTTTTGTTGCTGTGACATGCTGCGAGGTTCGTGAAGTTATCGTCGCGAGCTCTTCAACACATGTAGAAGTAAACATTTATTTGATAATGTTGATGATGAGAGAAAAGTAAGTTTTAGAACACTGTAGAGGTAATAACTAGTTCTAACAGGGTGTTGAACTTGTCGGCAGTGTTTGAAGTTGAATACAAGGTGAAGATCTTGTTGTGATGTTAACCACGCCTCGCTTTGGGCTGATTCCAGACGCACCTTTCACCAACAGTTACACCTCTGATGTTTAAGCTTCTTAAAGATCGTGTATATTTATAAATCTTGATTTACAAAGTTCTGAAACTCAGCAGGGTAAGTCCAAATAGTTTGAGTATGCAAGGGTAAAAATAATACTTGTGTGAAACCCCCGTAAATATTTGTCCTTGTGAGCACAGATTTAATCATAAACAGATAATAAACATACAGTTTATTGCTATCAGTGTGGTGTACTGATCGTGCTGTTAATTCTATAACCATGTTGTTTTCAGCTTTTACTTTTGCACGCTTTATACAAACATTTTCTCAATCGATATAGTTTGAGTTATCTCTAACTTTCTCACTATCTGTATCTGATTGGGATAATTGGTAACTGAGTAACTTTTTTATTGATAATAACTACAGTTTTATATCATTCTTATTTGACTTGGAACTTAATCTTTCTCTGTAGAGGGAGAAAAAAATTTTTTTGTCTGTTTTCTTCCCACTACCATTGTAATACATATTTGAAAAAAAAGCCCGATTTTGGAAATAAGCATTTTAAACTGAGAAACAAGCTAGAGCAGAAAAAAAAATAAGTTTCCGCAGCAGAAATGACTATTAGAGTCGTCAAACTAATTCCGTATTCGTGATCTGTGGATTGAAACATATAACTGGATTTTCGTACACCAGATCCGTATTTTGGATGTGGAAGAATTCGAGCAAACAAATTACACATCGTGATTAAATTATACTTTCAGTAAATATGCCTTTAAAATTGGAGTGGTATAATGGAATAGTAAATGTAATTTGCCGAACACTGTCGCCAAAGGTTTGTTTGTTTATTAAGCGCGAGTCCCCTGATGTGACAGCGGTAATTCTACGGACTTACAACACTAAATGCCCCCAGTGGAACAGCGGTATGTCTGCGGACTTACAACGGAAGAAACCGGGTTTCGATACCCGTGGTGGGCAGAACACAGATAGCCCATTGTGCATCTTTGTGCTTAACTTCAAACAAACAACGCTAAAATTTGGGATTCGATTCCCCGCGGATATACTAACGTAGCATTACTCTAGAAAACAACCATGTTAAGCACAGAGTTTCACAATGGGCCATCTGTGTACAGTACCCACTACTAGTATCGAAACTAGATTTTTAGCGTTATAAGCCCTCGCTTTCCTCTGAGTCACGGGAAGGTTTTTACGGAAATATATCCTTCAATTATTTTAACCTAATGTACCTTATTTCTACAGAATTAAACATAATTCTGTTCAAATTTTTAGCATCACGTATAATTTATTCTTTACATTGAAAAAAAAATATCTAAGTAGACAATTAAGAAAAAAATATATACATTAGTGTATACAAATAGTGTTATTACGTGGTCGAGAAAACTGATTAACGAGATCTAGTCAGGACATTCATGCTTTGAAGTACTTGCCTTTTTTATTATGAAAAGCCGTTAGAGATACTTGGTAGTTTTAGGCTTTAAAAGCTTCAATTAATCAATGTATCCCAGATTTGGTAAGATTGTGATAGTACAATTATTTTACAAACCATTTAGTTCTGCTAAACACTGCAGACTACATCACATATCTAAGTGTTTTGTCGCATGCCGAACCAATCCACCTTTTAATTGGTTACTGCTAAAGTAACATTTCTAGAATGAATTGTTTAATATCATATAAAGACCTTTTCAGTATGAAGAGTTTTGTTCCCTTGCTATTCTAGAACTTGTTTAAGTAACCCATTGGAAATATATGAAAACAGGTAACGCACATACATTAAAGTGACTAATTGCAACGAAATGATCAATTTGTCATTAGTAAAATACATCCCAGAATATATAAAAGAAAAGCAAATAAGTTGTATAATGTACTAGTACTTTGTTTCCTTTAAACAGAGCAGTATACATCGTTTTTTATGCTCTCATATGTTTATCAATGCATGATCGTGAAATATTGTTCCAAGTTCCGCAAAGATGTTGGTTTGTAGTTTGACATTGTAAGTTGAGATTCTTTTTATTTATCACTATAATTTTGCTACACTTGCTTCATGCGTAGGACCATTGTCTTGGTGGAAAAAAATTAATTCATACCCAGGGTCTTGTTCCGGAAGGAATGACATAATGGATAAGAATCTCCTCGTGCCTGTCAGTAGTCAGGGTTCCATCATTTTTGTATAGTTCTCCAACACCATTGGTTGAGATTTAGTCCACACGTATACTGGTTTTCAGAATGCTTCACTAAAGATGTTGTGCTTTGATTATAATGCCGTTTTCATATTTGCCACTGAATAGACTGTCCTTTATTTTTGGATCAGCGGTAAGTTTAAGGACACACAACGCAAAAATCCTGTGTTAGATTCCACGTAATGAACACAGCAGATAGCCATATGTGTCTTTGCACCAATCAACTAAACAAACAAACAAAACAACAGTACTATCATATGCCGGATATTTGCAGGAAAACGAAGTCGAGTCTTGTAACCTGGTGCTTGTGTAGGTAGAAAACTAATTTTTCAATAAAGTAGTGAACGAAATTACAAACCATATTTAGAACTCTGTCTCGGAAATTATTTTATTTATATAAAATTAATCGCTCTTTGCACGGCATTACGTTTCTGTACAGTAATAAACATAATGGATAACAATAGAGCACATTTTACAGCCTTTAGATTGAGGGATCAAGTTTTATAATAACAGTGCTTGAGTGTTGGCTGCACTCATTTCATCAAGCAGATGGCCCATTTGAAGATTAAATTACCGTGATGGGAAAACCGAAACTATCATGCACTTTGAATGTTTCTGTCCTTAATGGCTAGCGAGTTTGAAGCGTCATGGATATGTAATATCAACTGACCTCAATAAAAGCTACCATTGACCTAAAGAGAGTATCTCATACGTTCAAATAATATGGCTCTATCACTACTGAGCCAACTATACGTGTTTTAGTTCTGAACTAAAAACTATTTTCTGATACATATGTAGGCTTATGTAATCCCAGCCTTGTATTTCACCGTCGTATATGAACTGCGTGAAAGTTTCGTAGAATCATTAGCCGTGCAGTGAATATGGTTATTACAATATGGAACATCGTTTTTACTTCTGTTGGCATTGATTTGCCTCCTAGTTTTTTTTTCTTTTCCGAGATATTGTAAGAAGAACATTTTAAATATTTGGTATGTGCTTGATTTATTTTTCATTTTTGTGTAAAGTATACTTGTGCACGTTCTGTAGCCATTAAAATACAAGTAGCTCGTCCCAATAATGTGTTATATCTACTCGCGTAAGTGCACATGTATGGGTATTATCATCTAACCATTACACGCTAACCTTTTAAAACAGAGTAGAAATGAAAAAAACTAATCTGCGCACATTTACTGAAATAACATCCTTACAGGTGGATTTTCCGGACGTTTTAAGAAGTGATTTTCGAAGTTTACTTGGTTGAAGAAAAGCTGTCATTGCTCCTATCGAGTTTAACATGTGCTTCTGAACTCGAAGTTTTTCAAAATGAATAATAGGTAGCATACTTTGCATAACCCAAAGAAATAAATAAACGCCTATTTGACTAAGTAGCTCTCCTCTAATCGAATTTGAAAAATAGCACAGATAGACCATTATGCTTGCCCTTAAAACAAAAATACTTGGAAAATTGGTATGAGGGTCAATATATAACTGTGTGTGTGTGTGCGCGTGTTGGTTCACGTAGCTATGCGTCTGAGCCTTTTAGAATGTGTATGACTGAACTTGATGACATTATGGTGTTTGTTTTATTATACTATACTGAAAAGTACAGTGAACGATAAGACTAAGTCATTTCTACAATCGTCACATCTTTTATGTGCATAAAGGTTAAGGTAACTTAAGGTTAAGGCCATACGGTGGTCATGTTAGTAGCCTTTTTGTGACAATAAAGGTTGCATGAAATCAATTCTTGTGATTTTTGCATTGTAAAACTTTTCAAATCAATGAATTGAATACGTGTTTGTTGTACATGTGGTATTTTTAGGTGAATTTATAATCTTAAGAGATGTGCCACAATAGCTTGAGGAATGTCAGGAAATGTATCGCAGAGTTGAATCTGAATTCACTGAATTTCAAAAATACAAACAAAAAACCAGACACAGTGTAAAAACGAAATGAGCTGTAATCTTTATCAATAACAACAACGAAAAAAAAACGCAAATCCACAAGAATGAATATAGCTTATACTGACTTTATACTTGTATTTAAAACTTGACTTGTTACGCTCTTAATCTGAACATTTTTTTTCTTTACAAAATTTTATAATCTCTCTCTCTCTGTGTGCTTGTACTACTTACGTCACTGTTGGTCATTCTAATAGCAAATTAAGGTAAGATACATTTCAAGAGTCGCCTAAACTGCTAGTAGAAACAATCAGTCCTTTTAGTAGTGTAGAATTATCTAGAAAACTAGGTAGCTAGAACAAAGGAAATATAACCACATTCCTTAACTAATATTCTATAGATAAAACTACACACATGGATAGTAGTGTGGTATTCTAAGATAAACTGACTTTTTTCAAGAATGAATAACATAGATCGCAGAATAACAGGAGATTCGACCAGGATCTACTAAACAGCAGTTCTGAATTCTCCAAATTTGACTGAGCTCATTATAGAGAGACTGCTCACAAATGTAAAACACAGGAAAACGTTTATTTAAATTCAGTGTTCGTTCTTAGAATAGGGGATGTTCGCCTTTATTGAAGATATTTCTAAATGAAATAAGCTGTTTATTTTTTCTAGGCTATACATAAAACTAACATAATGCTTTCTCAGGGCGATGTACGCTACCCACGGAACTGTTAGTCATTCCTCCCATTGGTCATAAGGGAGCTTGTAACTTCTAGATTTCACTTGACAGGTTATTTGAAAAGGTCTCTGTCTACACCTACGTATTGCATGTTTAACTTTGCAGAAACCTTTCCCATGATAAGATAGGTAATATGCTGGGTGAATGACACAGAATAGTAGATAGCTAGAGGAAAAAGAACGTAGTGACTTTCTTGACCAACATGTTTTGGGAATCGTACAGACACTGGAATAAGTTCTATAATACAGGGAGGTAGAAAACGCAATGTATTTC